ACAACCCCCTAGAAACATGACTGACAGGCCAACTGGGTGTAGATAATCTCTGGCTGAGATTCTCTTCCCAGGTGGCTTTAGATTGTCAAATTGGCAATTAACACTAACCATCACTGTTTGCTTTATTAGTTACTTGTGTGGTTTTGTTCCATTTTGTTTCTGAGACAAGTTCTCCTGTTATAGCCCAGGCTGATCAGCAATTTGCTATGTAGCCCAGTGTAGACTTGAACTCTAGGCAACCCTCCTGCTTCAGCCTCCTAAATTCTGAGAGTACAGAGCTGAATGGAAAAGGGAGCCTCCAAAAGTTCTGTGGGGGCAGAGCAAAGGCAGGAAGAAGAATACAGCACATTGAATCAGACCAGACCCTCCTTGAACTAAAATCATGCCCCCAAGACAGGAAGAACTAAGCTGTCAGACAAAAATCCATGTACCAGAGCATCACAAAAGAGATATCAAAGATCTTTTGACTACAAGGTCCCAGATGGCTACTCAGTCACAGGATACTTAGGAACAAATATAGAGGTACCATGATAAAGGTGTCCTTTGATGGAATGCTTGGTAGACGTGGTGGTGGAGCTGATCCTCAACTCAAATTGCCACAGTGGTTTCTCAAATCCACCCCGCTTCCTGGACCTCCACAGATAGGACTTTTGACTGAGGAGATGGCTAGCCTCCTTTTAAGAGAGCCCCCGAAATGTGGTCACTCATGTATCCTACACACGTTCTTACAGCCAGGCATGGTGGTGTATGCCTGAATGCTTCAAATGATGAGGCAAGAGGCTTTCCAAAAGTTCAAGGCCAGTCTGGGTTAAATAATGAGTACCAGGATAGTCAAGACTACACAGTGAGAAGTGTCTCAAAACTCACTACCAAAACAAAAGACAAGTGAGATCTTTCTCAGGCTTCATCCAGAGGGGCTGTGGTGTGATAAAATATGGTGACAAAAGCAATTTAAGAAAGGGCTTATTTTGGCTCATGGTTCAAGGGCCAAGTCCATCATGACAGAGAAATCAAGGAAGCAGGAATTTGAGGCAGCTGATCACATTATGTGTGCAGCCAGGAAGCAGAGAGAGATGAATGCTGATTTCTTACTTACTTTTTCCCTCCATGCCTCCTTTTTGGCTAATGTTCATTTTATTGATTGATTGACTGACTGACTGACTGATTGATTGATTGATTGATCAATTGGTAGAGGAATCGTGCCCAGGCCCAGTGCACATGTGGAAGTCAGAGGATAACCTGAGGAGTCAGTTCTCACCTTCCACTTGAAGGTACTAGGGTTCAAACTCAGAATCTAAATTTTGGCCACAAGCATTCTTACCCACTGAGCCATCTCCCAGGCCCCACCACTTTCTCCTTTTTACACAGTTTGAGATGTCAGTACAGGAAATGGTGGTGTCCGCGTTTAGAGTGGGTCTTCCCACCTGAATTATCGCTATCAGCATAATTCCTTACAAGCATGCCTAGAGGCTAACCAAATACAGACAGTCCTTCATAGCTGTGCCCCGAGGGTTGTCTCCTAGGTACGGTCAATGTCAGCTGTCACAGCCAGGGACAAGGAAAACATTTGACACTATGAGAGTCTCAGGTTTGGGCTGTCTGGGATGATCACATCCTTTAGACCCAGTTTTGACCTCAGCTGTAGCTGAGCTGGACAGTTCCTGCAGTCCTGGAGGACACGGGCACACTAAGGCATCTCCACCCTTTTGCTCCTAGGTTCCCATCCACCACTCAGATGTCAGCCAGTTCTTTCCCAGTGGTCTTTCTGAGGAAGATGGGATTGAACCCAGGGCACTGCACATGCTAGGCAAGCATGCTGCCATTGAGCTACATCCCAAAATAATCATCCTCTTCTTCTTTTTTTAATATTTATTTTTATTTTTTAATTAATTTAATTTTACATATCAGGCACAGATTCCCCTGTCCTCCCTCCTCCCCCCCCCAGTCCACCCCCCATTCCCACCTCCTCCAGGGCAAGGTCTCCCCTGGGGAGTCGGCCCAGCCTGGTAGATTCAGTTGAGGCAGGTCTAGTCCCCTCCTCCCTACACCAAGACTGAGCAAAGTGTCTCAGCATAGGCCCTAGGTTCCAAAAAGCCAGCTCATGCACCAAGGACAAGTCCCGGTCCCACTGCCTGGGGGCCTCCTAAACAGTTCAAGCTAATCAGCTGTCTTACTTATCCAGAGGGCCTGCTCCAGTTCCATGGGGGCTCCTCAGCCATTGGTCCACAGTTCATGTGTCTCCACTAGTTTGGCTATTTGTCCCTGTGCTTTTTCCAATCATGGTCTCAATATCTCTCACTCATAGAATCCCTCCTCTCTCTCGCTGATTGGACTCCTGGAGCTCCACCTGGCTTGGCTGTGGATCGCTGCATCTACTTCCATCAGTCACTGGATGAGAGTTCTATCATGACAGTTAGGGTGTTTGGCCATCTGATCACCAGAGTAGGTCAGTTCAGGCACTCTCTTGACCATTGCCAGTAGTCTATTGTGGAGGTATCTTTGGGGATTTCTGGGGACCTCTCTAGCACTTTGTTTCTTCCTATTCCCATGGGGTCTTCATTTATCATGGTCTCTCTTTCCTTGTTCTCCCACTCTGTTCCTGATCCAGCTGGGATCTCCTGCTCCCCTAAGCTCTCTTTCCCCGACCCTTGCCCTCCATTATCCCCCCACCCCCAGTTTGCTCATGGAGATCTCATCCATAAAGGGAGGCTACCCTAAGAAAGACACAGGGATCCCCCGATGACAGAGAAATGGGTGAGATCATCCTCTTCTTAAAACATTATTTGAATATGTGTCTGTTGTGTGTGAGTGTATGTAGAAGTGAGTGCAGGTACCAGTAGAGGCAGGAATCAGATGTCCTGGAGCTGAAGCTACAGGAGGTTTTGAGCCACCTGATATGGATGCTGAGAAACACACTCAAGTCCTCTGGGAAAGTAGCAAGTGCCTTTAGTCAGTGAGTCGTCTCTCCAGCCTCCTTTTCTCTGACACTTCTGCCATCAAGAAGACCTCACCCTCATGACCTCGTCTAAGCCTAGTCACCTCCCAAAGGCCACACATCCATGGGCCGTCAGCATAGAGTAGAAGGAACAGGTTTTCACCTCCTCAGCTTTTGGGACACCCAGTCGGTCTACACACCATCTGCTCTGTAATGCAGTCTCGAGATCCCTTCCTCCGCCATCTGCAAACACAGCTCAGGCTTCCCCCCAAACAACCTATTAACACGTTCCCACTGAGTTTGCCCCATCCATGGGTCCTCTGGCTCCCTTGCCGGGGAAGTGAGTCCTGTGCCCTGACAGTGCCCCAAATCAGTGGGTTCATCTTTGTCTAGCTGTATATTCTGGAATCCTTCATTCAGCTTGAGAAAATCAAACACTTGGCGCCCTCCCTCCATTCCTGCTGAAGTCTGCTAGATAAACCAGGCAGCACTACAGCTCATGGTCTGTTTGTTTGCCCTTTCCTTCAGCCAGGTAAGGTTAGTGTCTGAGACTTTGCTCAGTGGTGGTGCAGGGACCCAGGGCCTCACACACACTGGTTAACATTCCACCTCTAGCTGTCCCTCTAGCCCCAAACACTTGCTTTGGTGCAGAAACCAGAAGAGGAAGAGCAGATACTGAGGGGACAGGGACAGGAGACCTCTGAGGTGGCTGCCAGCACAAAGGAAAGGACCTCCACTGCTGTGGGCTTCAGGGGCTTCTCAAGACCCCATGTCCTGGCTCCCCAGGGATGAGCTGGACTGAGGAATGTGCTTCTGTGTATGGTGAGGGGACAATAGCACATTTAGACACTGCTTTTAAGCTATCCCCCAAGAAGCCAGATGGCTTCAGGAACTGCAGACAGACTTGAGCCCACAAAATGTCATACTCACTATAGCTTTCCTCCACAGTCACAGAAGACAAGTGCTATTTCTAAGTAGTTTTCTAGCAAGGCATGGGTGCACACCTGTAGTCCAACTCTTGAGAGGTGGAGGCAGGGGGATCACGAGTTCAAGGCCAGCTTCATTACAAACCACATTTGAGGCCAGCCATGAGACTTGGTCTCACAAAACCAAACAAATAAATGCATATTTTTTTAAAGGTCGCTTTCTGAGTTATACCTGGTAAATGACCGAATTAACTTATGTGAAGATAGTCATCCATGGAAGCTCAGTATATTGGAGCATGGCTGTAACTGAGCACTTGGGTGGCTGAGACATCAAGATGGCCACCAGTGTGAGGACGGCCCATGCTTCAGAGTGACTCTCTGTCTCTGCCCTGTCCCCTCACACACACACAAACCGTGGGAAAGGACCTGGTTATCGCCACTCCTCTCCCCTGACTCTGCCATGTGCAGATGAAGTAGGGATGCCGGGAAATAGAAAACTAAGACTAACGGCAGATCCTGTATCTGTTCCAGGATGGAAAGACGTTTGTGTATTGGGGGATATGGTCCTTGTTCTTCATTAGCTGCCTTCTAAGTTGATGATTTAATATTACAAAGGTCACAGCAGTTTAAGGATTCATGTTGGCTCCCTCACACTCCAGAAAATTCCAAACCAAAACCATTGAAAATTACCCTGTATTTCCAGCATGTGTGTGAAACAATCTCTTCCCCGAATTCTACTGGGGTGACTTTGTTCAATAGAAATTAACCACACAGTGGGATCTTCTCTAGAAAATTAGCTACCCTGAGTTTTGTATTTATGCCAGTCTTAGTGTGCACACTTACCAAATACTCTGAGGAATGTTAGCAGAATCTTGGTCCCCATCTTAATTTTTTATGGTAACACTTATTTTTGCTTTGTATGGGGGACAGGGTGCATGCCATGGAGTGTGTGAAAGTCTGTAGGCTAGAGGACAATTTGCAGAAGTTAGTCCTCTAATGTGGGCCTGGGGGATTGAACTCAGATCCATTAGGCTTGGTGCCAAGTATCCTTACCCACTGAGCCATCTCATCAACCCTGTTTTGTTATTGCAATACCAAACACTGAATACAGAGCCTCACACATGAAAGCTACATTCCAATCCAGGACCCCTCTTTTAATAGCATAACACCTTTTTCCATAGAGGAACTTCATTTGCTGCCTTAGATTGTATTCTCTGGGGTAGAGAATCATGAGCAGCTTCTGCTGGGAACCCCATCTGGGAGAAAAACCCACAAGGAGATAGGGAGAGTTGGACATCAGGGGCAGGCTGGTCACCGTGTACATGTAATTGGGCCTCAGCCAATCCTGCAGGAACCTTCCAGCAAGAACAAACTGTCAGAGCTATCCCACATTCAGGTAAAGGGAGTGGGACTCTATAGAACTTGGACAGGCTACCCATTGGGACAGCAGACAGTTTGCTAGGGGGATACTCACTTCCCAAGGAGAAGTCTGTGAGTTTTTGCCAACTGAAGATCTGTGTCTTAGTTACTTTTCTGCTGCTATGATAAAAAATACCCTGGAAAAGGCCTGGGCTGCTGCTGAAGGCCATGTCTGGGTCTGTGGCCCTATAGCAGCCAGGGGTTGGGTTGACATCTGTGGCTTCTGCACCAAGGGCCCTGTGGATGCCCGGGGTCAGCTCAGCCACTTGAGTCCATGTTGGGCTCCAAGGGCCATGCTGCAGCTAAGGCCATACAGACCTGAGTGGCTTGTGCTGCTACCCAATGCCATGGTGACATCTGGGCCAGAGCTGAAGCTGAGGGTCATGTCTGAGTCCATGGCCCTACTTCAGTCAGGGTCTGTGTTGATGTCCGAGGCTCCTGTCACCATCAAAGGCCATGAGGACATCTGAGGTCTGAGGCCATGTTAGTGTTCGAGAGCCATGCTGCCGCTGGGGCCCGTGCTGATCTAAGTGGCCTGCACTGCCACCTGGGGCGATGGTGACATTCAGACCCAGCTGCTGCTGAGGACAGTGTCTGGGTCTGTGATACTGCTTCAGCTGGGGTCTGTGTTGATGTTTGTGGCCTATGCCGCTTCAGGGGCCATAGGAACCATATATGATGAAATCAGAGGGTCATGCTGAGCCAGCCCCACCCTTTGCTGTACCGGGGAAAGATGGCCCCTAACCTCACAGGAGACCTGGCCCCTGCACTTGGAAGAGATGGATCTACCCTTCACCATGAGGGAGACTGACCCTGACTGCATGGACATAGGGGAGCTGGCTCCACGCTCTCACCTGAGTCAGGTAACCCCAGTGGCCTGGACTGACTAACTCAACTACCACCCATACCCACAGCCAGGCCTTTGGTTGGTCTACCCTAATATCTACCCCATCTAGGACTTGCTAGAGCTTGTGAAGGGACTGGTCCTGTGGAAGATTCCTGCAGGCTCTCCATGACTAGGGGTGGCCGAAGGACGTCCCAGAGGAGTTTCAGTGAGGATCCAGTTATGATGGTATACCAGAAGCCAGAGGCCTTGAACCAGATCAATGACTCATTGCAACGAACATTTGTTAGTAAAGCTGATTGGATGAAAGGGTATATATACTATATGACACACCATTCCCAATGCCACCAGGATGGATGAAGAGGTGTTGGAGAGGCGGGAAAGATGGAGAAGCGAAGAGGTTACTTTTTGTTTTTGTTTATTTGTTTGCTTGCTTTGTTTTTGTTTTGGTTTGATTTTTAAAAATTTTTCTGAGGGGTGAGGGAAGGATATGGGGACTGGAAGGTGAGCAGAATTAGGATGCATAATGTGAAATTCCCAAAGAATCAATAAAGAAATTATGTTCAAAAGATACCCTGGAGAAGGCAACTTAAAGAAGGGAGCGTTTATTCTGGCTCACAGTTCCAGGAACAGTCCATCAGCAGGAAGTCACAGCAGCAGGAGCTTGACACCGCTGGTCACATGGCATCCTCAGCCAGGAAAAAGAGAGCAGCACATGCCAGCGCTCACCTCAGCTGTTGCTGTGCTTCATACAGCCCAGGGTCCCTATCAAGGAAACGGTCCCACCCACAGTCAAGGGGTGTCTCTGCACACCATTAGTACAATCAGGGCAATCCATCACATATTCTCAGCACCTTAATGTAGAGAATCCCACACACGTGTTTCCGGAGGCTTGCCTCATAGGTAATCTGACAATTCACACTAACCATCACACCTAGCCTCCTAGAGGAGACCATACAAGGGCAGAGGAAGGGGTCTGGAAGCTCATTCATTACACCCCAAACCTACTGCAGCTTACAGTGTTCTGCCCGTCAAGGGCTATGGTACTTCTGCCAAGGATACTCACTGGGTTAGACATGCATCCCACTGTCTGCAAGCATAAGTCAAGTGTTAAGATCAATCCACATGATCAATCCACGTGAGTCTATTTAATGGGTAATGGAGATTTATTAAGATATAAATTGAGGAAATACACTCACAAATACAGAACCAAGTAAACAGCTCTGTTCTGACCAGGAGCGAAGCCACCTGGCAATTTGATCAGACCAGGAAGCAGGCAGCAGGGAGAAGGGAGCCCCTTCTCCCCTTCTCCCTTTCCTTTTAAGAGGTCACATACAATAGCAAGAAGCATAGCCTCCTTCAGGTCCTACAGCCCAAGGTCATGGGGGAGCAAATACCACTACATTTCCCCTTTTTGTCTAAATAAGAAGGTTTTCTCTATATCTATCTATCTATCTATCTATTTTTGGGTTTTTTTTTTTTTTTTTTGGTTTTTCGAGACAGGGTTTCTCTGTGTAGCTTTGCGCCTTTCCTGGAACTCACTTGGTAGTCCAGGCTGGCCTCGAACTCACAAAGATCCGCCTGGCTCTGCCTCCCGAGTGCTGGGATTAAAGGCGTGCGCCACCACCGCCCAGCTATTTTTGGTTTTTTAAGGCAAGGTTTCTCCGTGTAGCTTTGGAGCCTGTCCTGGAATTCACCCTGTAGACCAGGTTGGCCTCGAACTCACTAAGATCTGCCTGGCTCTGCCTCCCGAGTGCTGGGATTAAAGGTGTGTGCTACCACTGCCCGGCCAATAAGAAGGTTTTAAACTTAATGCAAACTACGTACAATAAGAATGATTGTAGCCGGGCGGTGGTGGCGCATGCCTTTAATCCCAGCACTCAGGAGGCAGAGCCAGGCGGATCTCTGTGAGTTCGAGGCCAGCCTGGTCTCCAAAGCGAGTTCCAGGAAAGGCGCAAAGCTACACAGAGAAACCCTGTCTCGAAAAACCAAAAAAAAAAAAAAAAAAAAAAAAAAAAAAAGAATGATTGTGAAGTATTGTACAGGAACAACAAAGGGTAATAACATAAACAAAAATGCAACTACAACCAACAAGAACAACATCAAACAAGAAAGACATGCTAAATGTCCAGAAATATCCAGATTGTAGGTAAATGGCGAATTACCAAGATTGCTCCAATAGCTGTCCTATCCTGAAGATTCTAACTTTAATATCTAAAATGTTCTTAGCTAAGATATGAGAGGACTATAATTGTAACTATCTCCATCAAACTGTAACTCCATCAAAGACCTGAGAAGGAACATAATAATACCTAAGAAAACAGAAAATGCAAGCAAGCGATTTCTGAAATTCTTGTGAGAATAGGCAGAGACAGCTGGCAGCCTAGACAGTCATCTAAAGTTTCTTATCATTATTGGGGCATCCAATTTGGCTACAGGCCTAGAGTATCTGTCAGACCATTTTCAGAAGCAGGAATTCTGAAAGACCATCTTACCCTGTCTTGGCAGAGTTCAGTAGTCACTTTTCCTTGTGTCCTGTTCATTCAGAAAGGACAGCATTCATACTGTCAGCAGTTGAGGCAAGGGCAGTTCTTTGCCCAGCAGGCCATTTTGTGACAAGAAGAATACAAACTTCCAAACAGAAATGTCTTAGAAGCCCAACATTCTCTCGGAATCAGATCAGTCCTGCCAGGAGCAATCGTGTCTCACATCAATAGAATTCTAAGTTATCAAAACATTTAAATGCCATATTCTCTAGACCTATGAAGTGTTTGAAGATTACCTATCCATCTGACATATGTTTCTGTAAATCTGGACAACCTAACTAACATAACTATAGAAATGACAAGCATGGGTGACGATAGTTCTGCAAGTCTTATCTACCTAAATAACCTAAGGATTAAGGCTACACATTAACAAGGTAAACAGTCTATAAGCAGATGTACTGTATAAGGACAATGATCTCAAAATTGTGACAATACACAAAATATCTTAAACAGAGGTAGAAATGTATAGTGCAATATGCAATATGACAGCAATATCCTTAATATGTATCAATATACAAAATATCCTAAACAGAGGTAGAATGTACATATAGTATGACAATTATAATTTTACATTTGTATCAATATACAAAATATTTCAAACAGAAGTAGAAATATGTGTACAATACAACAATTATAGTTTTGCATATGTATCACTATACAAATTATCTTAAGTAGGAATATAAGAATAGTTTACATTTGAATCAATATACAAGAATTTATATCTGTGCAAATCATGTAAGACTGATTGCTAAATTAGTTTACTAGTAGATACAATAATTTACCTTAATATACTATACCTATCCATTCCCCTTTTTTCTTTTCCAAAAAAGAATCCTGAGTCTAAGTTTTATTGTCCTCCACCCAACCCTATAACCATCCATCCATAACCCTGAGAAAAATGAAAACTTTGGGAGAGGGGCATCATTTTTTTAGAATTGCATCCTGCTGTTTAGGGACGATGGTATCTCTGTGGGGTCCTGTAAGAAAGCTTAGATAGTTGGGTCTCAATAGGACTAGCTGTAGAGTCTGCAGCCAGTCTCAGATGAACTTTGCCAATAGGTGAGACAATACTTCAGATTTCCTGCTTCACTAAAATGTCTGCCAGAGACTTTAGACCTGTAGGCTGAAGATAGATGCCCCAATATTACAGAGGAACTTTGGATGACTGTCCAGTCAGCCAGCTGTCTCTGTCATTTCTGGAATTATGGAAGTTGCTTGCAATGCACTTTCTGTTTTCTTAGGTAATATTATATCCTTCTGGAGTCTTTGATGTAGTCAAAGACTAGTTAGTTACAATTTTCCTTGGTTATGATAAAAGATAAATTAAACATGAAACTTTAGACTCACAAATATAGGATAGATGATAGAATATTTTCTTTAATTTTGTCAAATACAAATAGACTAGATATTTTAACTGTAATTTTCACTTGATAACTGTTCTATTTTATGTAATTTTACTATGTTAAAGTTAAAGCCTTCCTTTTTGATTTGATAGTAAAGGGGATGTCTTTCTGTATGCTGTGAATATGTGTTTCTCTGGTTGATATATATAAAGCTGCATTAGCCTATGGCAGGGCAGGATAAGTTTAGGCAGGATATTTGAACTGAGGATGAGACAAAGAAGGGTGGAGTCTGGGAAGAGACTAAAAACCACCACCAGGAGAAGCAAGATGTGAAAGTACTAGTAAGCCATGAAGCCATGTGGCAATACATAGATTAATAAAAATGGGCTGAGTTAAGTTTTAAGAGCTAGCTAGCAAGAAGCCTGAGCCAATAGGCCATAGAATTAGTAATTAATATAAGCCTCTGTGTAATTATTTTATAAATGGCTGCAGGACTGCGGGGCCAGGCCAGACCAGAGAAACACAGGACCATGGGCTGGGTGAGATTGGAGAAACTTACAGTTACCATCAAGGCTGCTACACTGTGCACTTAAATTTAGAGAGCCCGAAGAGCTCAGTGGATAATCTGGCTACAGATCTTGAATTCCTAATCCTCCTGCCTCTGCCTCCTGAGTGCTAGGAATATAGGTGTGCACTAATATACCTAGCTTTGGGCTATAAATTTAAGTGGGGCAATTCAGAACACACTTATCTATTGTCTTAGTTAGGGTTTCTATTGCTGCGAAGAGACACTATGACCACAGCAACTCTTATAAAGGAAAATATTTCATTGAAGCTTGTCTACAATTCAGAGGTTTAGTCCATTATCATCATGGAGGGACATGGTAGCATACAGGTAAACATGGTGCTGGAGAAGGAGCTAAGAATTCTACATCTTGATCCACAGGCAAGTGAACAGTGTCACTGGGCATAGCTTGATCTTAGGAGATCTCAAAGTCCACCCCCATAATAACTCACTTCCTCCAACAAGGCCATACCTATGCCAACAGAGTCACACCTCCTAATAGTGTCACTCCCTTTAGGGGCCATTTTATTTCAAACTACCACATCTATTATTTTTAAAAATAAAACAATGACCCCATTACATAGTCACATAAACGATATGTCTTTGTAAAAAATATTTTCCAAAACTTGAAATTACATTGCTTAATCTTTTTGTGACTCTCTTCAGACAGCTGGAATCTTGTATCTGTCCCTTCAACCCATCTTCTGGGAGATGTTCCTTTCTTTTAAGTTGGTTAAGCCAATCCAGTCTCATACATAGCTGTAACTGGAAAATGGAGGAGGATTTAAATACTCTTTTCAGATAATTATGGGTATTTTTCCTGTGGTGCTATATCAAAACTCAGTAAATGCTAATTTCTGAACTGTTTGTAGCACACAAACAAACAATTAAAAAACATCCTATTGTGTACTTTGCCTTTTGAACTGAGTCAAATTCCATTCAGGATATTGTCATGCCATGCCCGGTAACTTGGGTATTGAGTTGTCCAGACTTTCCAGATGGTGACACATTAATAATGCAGTATCATGCAGCTGGAGTGATGGTTAAATGGTTAGGAGCCTGTACTGCTCTTCCAGAAAACCTGAGTTTCGTTCCCAGGACCCACTTCAGGCATCTCACAACCACCTGGAACTTCAGCTCCCGAAGATCTGATGCCTCTGCACTCCTGCACACATGAGTATATATCCCCACCACATATACAATATTTTAAATAATTGAATAAATCTTTAAAGAAAGAATTGCATTCATTAACCTTATCATCAAACTCAGCTCACAGGTCTCTAGTACCTCTAAGCTGCCAGATTTCCAATGATGGATTCGAATGTTCCAGAATTTTGTTATGGATGAAAAATATTGGCAGCTGTTTTCCTAAAAGGTTTGCTTCACTCATTTGAAAGAAAATATCTGCTTTACGTGCAAGACGAAGAATGGTAGTTTACCTGTCCATAATTCTTTCAAGGAAAAATTGCTATTCATTCAATATACTTCCAGTTCTTGCTGCGTGGTAGTGCCTGCCTTTAATACCAGGCTTTGGAAGGCAGAGGCAGGCAGATCTCTGTGAGTTTGAGGCCAGCCTGGTCGGCAGAGCAAGTTCCAGGACAGTCAGGGCTCCACAGAGAATCCTTTCTAGAAAAAAGCAAACTAAACCAAAATCAAAACTGAAAACCTTCTAGTTCTAGTCAACATATACATAATTATGATTATGTAAATAGAATTCCTCAGCATAAGCATCTTCCCTTATTATCAGAAGGACCATGCACATGTCCCACATTTGCACCTCCAACATGAGTGTTAACATTTTTTTTTTTTTTGGTTTTTCGAGACAGGGTTTCTCTGTGTAGCTTTGCGCCTTTCCTAGAACTCACTTGGTAGCCCAGGCTGGCCTCGAACTCACAGAGATCCGCCTGGCTCTGCCTCCCAAGTGCTGGGATTAAAGGCGTGCGCCACCACCACCTGGCTGAGTGTTAACATTGTAAAAAACAAGTATTACCTTAACATTGTTGCAGAAAGACTTTGACCCCAAGGAAATTCACTGAAAGGGGTTGGGACTACTAAGGGTCAATGGCCATCTGTGTGTGTGCATATGTGTTACGTGTGCACATGAACTCATTCATGTGTACATAGGTGCAGAACTCTGTGTGTGTATATGTATTTGTGTGTGTGTGTTTGAGCACACTTGTGTCAATTTGTTTACATGTGCATTGGGGTGAAGAATTAATGTCCCATGGTTTTCTTTTAATTTGCTTGGAGATATATATAAAATATATCTATATTTGAGACAGGGTCTCACTGTGTAGCCCTGGCTGCCTTGAACTCACAAAGCTCCACCTACCTCAAGCTTGAGTGCTGGGATTAAAGGCTGTACCATCACACTTGGCTCAGTGCCCCTGCTTTTTAAGTGTCATGGGCCTTTTCTTTTTCTTTTTTTCCTAAGGATTTGTTTATTTTTATTTTCTGTGTATTAGTGTTTGCCTGCTTGTATGTATGTGCATCACATGCGTACCTGGTGCCTGTGGAGGCCAGAAGGGGGTGTCTTATTGCCTGAAAATGGAGTTGTAGCCAGTTGTGAGGCACTACCTGAATCCTGGGAACCAAAGCAGGTTCTCTGCAAGGGCAGCCAGTGCTCTTAATGGCTGAGCCATCTCTCCGGCTCCTTCAGTAGAGCTGCTGGAGAGATTACTGCAAGCCTCTTTCTAGGTGTCAGGACACAGGCACCCTAGCTCTACACCTCAGCCTTCTCTGAGAATAGGACAAACAGCCATCTGTCTCCTCCTCTAAGGCAAACAACTCTTTAAGCGAGGACACTGAGCTTACCCACCTAGGAGGCAATCACATACTGAAATCTGGAGGGGGAAAACAGTACGCTAGACTGTTAGTTAAGTGCCTCACTCGGGACACTTGTGCACAACACCCATTGGAAACCGAGATGCCGCTCGGGGCTTCAAAATCACCTCCAGGGGGGCGTGGGTACTGGAGGGAGGCTTTAGGAAAGTTTACTAGTAAACTGGATCCCGGCCACTGACCAATTGGTAAAGAGCGACTGGACCTTGGACAGCCACCAAGCTGAGTGCTGGTGTAGGCGGCAGCACCGTGGACAGCGCCAAGCACCGCCGCTCGGGGAGCCAGGGGCGGGGAGAGGCGGCTTCATCAGCTGATGCCTTACGTAGCGCTGGATCCCCACTTTGCTAAGGCCGGTCCGGGTGGGCGCGCCAGCGTGCGTTTTCGGAGTAGCAACCCCAGGCATGGTGGAGAGAGGCCAGCGTAGAGCAGAAGACCATCTCTAGAAAGCAGGTACCTGCGTGGCTTCTTCAGCATCCGGCTGTTCCCCAGGGCGCCACTGCCCGGAGAAGGGGGTGGGGGAGCGGGCAGGGAGCAATCTTGGACCAGTGACTGTTCTGACGCACCAGCCGGCTTCCAGGAATCCACCGGGCAGAGACGAATCCAAGGATGCTCTGCTGCTGGCGACCAGACAGCGGTCTCCGCCGAGGTGAGGAAACGCAGGCATGTGATAGATTAAGCGAGCCCTGGCTTCTAGACTCAGCCCCTTGAGTCCGCTTTCCAAATCCCTAAGGATACAGAGACTGTGCGGCTTGCAGCCTAGCTCCTCTCTGCCACGTCTCTTCCAGACTCTCACTGATTGGAGATTGGGGTCAGGGTGACAGGCTCTTGACAGAAACCTCTCCACTAGTCAGTGGTCGCAAACATCTCTATATTGACTCCGGTGGGCTCGGTGGCTACACTGAATCTGAACGCAGGTGTCCTGGACCAGCGATGGATCTGCCTGTAAACTTGACCTCCTTTTCCCTCTCCACTCCCTCTTCTTTGGAACCCAATCGCAGCCTGGGTGCGGAAGACCTGCGCCCTAGTCGGCCCTTTCTCTCAGTTTTCCGAGTGCTAGTTCTGACCTTGCTAGGCTTTCTAGCCGCGGCCACGTTTGCTTGGAACCTGCTGGTGCTGGCCACCATCCTCAGGGTACGCACCTTCCACCGCGTCCCACACAACCTGGTGGCGTCTATGGCCATCTCGGATGTGCTGGTGGCTGCGCTGGTCATGCCACTGAGTCTGGTGCACGAGCTGTCCGGGCGCCGCTGGCAGCTGGGCCGGCGGCTGTGCCAGCTGTGGATAGCGTGTGACGTGCTCTGCTGCACAGCCAGCATCTGGAATGTGACAGCCATAGCCCTGGACCGCTACTGGTCGATCACACGCCACCTGGAGTACACACTCCGTGCCCGCAAGCGCGTCTCCAACGTGATGATCGCGCTCACCTGGGCACTCTCTGCGGTCATCTCTCTGACCCCGCTACTCTTCGGCTGGGGGGAGACGTACTCTGAGCTCAGCGAGGAGTGCCAGGTCAGTCGCGAGCCTTCCTACACCGTGTTCTCTACCGTGGGCGCCTTCTACCTGCCGCTGTGCGTGGTGCTCTTCGTGTACTGGAAGATTTACAAGGCCGCGAAGTTCCGCGTGGGCTCCAGGAAGACCAACAGCGTCTCCCCCGTTCCCGAAGCTGTGGAGGTGGGTGCTACAAGGATCGCTAAAAATACTTCACTTGCATCTGCAAAGGCTTTCTTCTCGGCAGACCTCCCCCGAAGTCTATGGAAGGTGAAACTCTCCAGTTTAGGAAGACGTAGGCAAGGGAGGGCGCAAGCGCCAGAGACTACCTTTGCTTTAAGCTCTGAATTACAGAGTCCCTCCCGTGTTGAGTGTCTGGTGGGTTGTTTTCTTATGTGGAAGACGTAGGGTTTGTGATCGTATCCTATCGGGTCCACTTTGGCACTAAAGCTCTGTGGATGGACAGCATTCCTTATAGAACATCTGGTGAAGCTGGTGTCTGGGGGACGTTGGCTCAGTACTGGGGGGGGCGGGGCGGGGAACGGAACGAAAAAACCTGCCTTTTTCTGCATTAGTAGTGAGGGAGCGTCCGAGGAGGGAAGATTAGAATGATTGACAGGATGATTGCCACACAGCAGGCACATCGGTTGTGTTGTGTTCTAGGCTCTTTTGCAAATTATTATTTCTAGGTTGTCATTTATCATTCTTCAGTGTCCTGTCTAATCATCCCCCCCCCCCAAGATTAAAGACAACTGTTTACTGTCATCTTGGTGCCTGTGTTTGGTGTCTGCTCTCCTTGCCTTATGGTTTGGACCACTGCCTTCTGGGCCTATTTACTGCAGCCCCATCAGACCATGGGCACTACTGAGGATCACCTGGCCTATCTGCTTTCCCTTTGAGTAATATGCAGGAAGAAATTCAAGTTTCAGAACAGATAGCTCCCCCAGCTCCCTATGGCTGGCATTTGAAGCAGACAATCTCTACAAGGAAGTCCAGCTTCCATCCTCTGCCACCCACAATTCCCTGTCTACCTCTCCTTAACTCCTGGAAATCTGACTTGGTGATTCAATGTTCTCAAACTCCAGGAAAAGGAGTCAGCTCCCTACCCATTGCTGAGGGCCTCACTTATGTACTGAAGTTAGATCAGACAAGAATACAGTCCCGGTTTTCTGTTGCTGGGCTCTGGGACAGCAGAATACTTTAACTGAATGTGCTGGGTGTGTTGTACTGGCTTGATGTAAAGGTAAGCCTAAGTAAATGGTGGTTCTTTGTGAAGACCTTGTCAGCGTGGCTGCATTCCTAGTCATTCAAGCTTAGGGCACAATAGATGGAGGAGGTAGAGGAAGGGGCAAAGGGAGACACGGCTCCCTGTTCCTCCATCTAGAGCAGTGGTCCTCCACCAAGGATGATGTCTGGACTGCCTGGTGATTCCTAATAGCACAGGACGGCCCCACAATGAAGAATTTCAAGGACCAGAATTCATTGAACTGAATTTTGGAAACTCTACTGTATCCACCAAAAAGCCCAGAACTAGGTTCTAAATAGCTTTAGGCAACTAAAGCTTGGGTTCCACCTCTGTTTCCCTGGTAACGGAATGCTTTGCTCTTCCTTGGAATTTAAATTACCGTAAAAAAAAAAAAAAAGGGTGAAGGTTGTTCTGTCTCTAGCCTGAGTGGAGACCTGGCATTTCAAGCAGCCAAAAAGGAGGTGGAAGGGATAAATTACCCCTAATGAGACAATGTACTGTTCCTTTCCAAAGGCCTCTTCTCTGGCGCAGCCCCTTTCAGAATCTGCCTGGTGTAACTTGGCCCGTTTTCTTCTTTTCATCTATTTCCCTTTCTTTCAGACACTGGCCAAAGGCCAAGTGTGCTGTCCCTGGTTCTCGGGCTGTCTCACGTTCTCTCTGAACTCCCTCTCTTCTCCCTGGGGCCGCTTGCTCCCTGAGCAGCATGGCTCTTTCTCTCCCTTGTCCCCATTTCCCATCCCCTGGCAGCTGCGGAGAGTCACAGCTTCCCCGCCCTGTTGTTTTTCTTTTAAACTCCAATAAAATTATCCCCAACTTCCTTTCTAGTCTGCTTCTAAATTCTTTTATGAATGAGTGATGAGATTGACAGTCTAAAAGGTGAGCCTCAGTTTCCCCAGGAACACACTCAGACTCCAATTATGAACCCCTTTGGGTGTTCTTGGTCTCATTAATAAAATAACTTAGGAATAGACTCAAATGGAAACACAAAGACAATTTTAGAATTTGAAAGAAAATCTCGAAGGCAGGCAAGCCTTAAAACCTCAGCCGCTGCCGGGCAGCACTCGGGAGGCAGAGCCAGGCGGATCTCTGTGAGTTCGAGGCCAGCCTGGGCTACAGAGCGAGATCCAGGACAGGCTCCAAAGCTACACAGGGAAACCCTGTCTCAACCCCCCCCCAAAAAAAAAACAAAAACAAAAAACAAAAAACAACTCAGCCACTGCCCAGAGAAGGAGGAGAGGAAGGGAAAAGTCATTCAGTTGAAGCCTGTTGTAGAGATGGGACGAAAGGTGGACAGGAGGCCACGGGGTGGGGAGGAGGCTTTAGGAAGATTAAGGAAGTCCAAAATGTTGGGGGAGGGAGCCCAAAGCGTTAAGGAAAGCACGATTAGAAAAGAGACAAAGGAGAAGAGAAGACGTTGCACTTAGAAAAGGAGCCAAACACTGTGGTTGTGGTCCATGAGCTACTGTGTGGGGACTCGGGGAAGAAAATCTCAGTACCTCATTAAAGGACTGATTACTTCACCTACCTCTGCAGCATAGCTTAAGGAAGCCTCAGTTCCTAGGCGTGGTTTCTTGGCCAAGTGAATGATCCTGCTCAACTGAATGTTAGGTCTCCATTCAGGCCAGAGACTCCAGTCTCTTGATCACTTTTTCCCCCCTACTCTAACAACAGGGAGATGCTGGGTAGGTCCATTAGTGATTGGGGGTTGGGGCTCATTACAAGTAGTAACAGAGGACCACCAGTCAAAGGAACAAAGCTTTGATGACTGAACTGAGGCTGGGGAGCATGGCTCAGTCAGTGTGTACTTTTTTTTTTTTTTAATTTAAAAACATTTCTCGGGGAACTGGAGAGATGGCTCAGTTGTTAAGAGCATCCGCAGTTCTTCCAAATAACCTCAGTGGGATTTTCAGCACCCACATCTATAACTCAAGTTCCAGGGGATCAAATGCCCTCTTCTGGCCTCTGGGGGCACTGCATGCACGTGGTACACAGACATAGACGGAGGCAAAACTCTCAGATATTAAATAATTAAAAACAAGCATTTTGCAAGTGTCCACGGCGGCCAGAAGAGGGTGCCGGGTCCCCTCCAGCTCTCTGTGGACTGATCTTCTCTTCTCCTTCCTAGTGCAGGGACTAGAGGTGTAACTCATCATACCCAGTTTATTTGGTGCTCAAGATTGTATCTGGGGCTTGCGCATGCTGTAAGCATGCTACCAACTGAACTAAATCCCTAGCCTCAGTACATTTTTAAAAATTTTATATGTACAGGTGTTTGTCTATATGTATATCTGTGTACCACATGTGTGTCTGGTGTCTGTGGAGGCTAGAAAAGGGTGTTGGATCCCCTAGAACTGAAGTTAGAAATGGTTGTGAGCTGCCTTGTGGACACTGGGATTTAACCGGGGTCCTCTGGAAAAGGATCCAGTGCTTTTAACCACTGAGCTATCTCTCCAGCCCCCTTGGTACACTGTTATCAGTGTAAAAGGACAGGTTTCTGGGGGCTCTCATGCAGCTGCATGAGTGCATTGGGCTGCAGTTCCTCTTGCTTGTGGGGTGTCTACAGGGACTCCAGGCCCCTTGCTGCCTTTTCGGTAATGCTCTGGTCTATAGTGTAAGCATTCTTAGCTACAGTCTCATCCCGAGTGGTAGCACACTCGTTAGGAAACAGCCAATACTCACTGAACTCTAGGAGAGTCACAGACGGAAGGGCTGTCTTCTCACCACCGGCACCCACATTCTCTCAAACCTTTGAGAAATGTGCTGCATAGCCGCAGCTTGGTCTTTCATTTGCTCTTTCTTTATCACCTGGCACAAACGAATCATTTTGTCTATCCATTATTTGTTTATGGTAGGGTCTTCCTATATAATACGGGCTAGCCTGGAATTCCTTATGTAGCCCAGGTTGGCCTTAACCTTGAAAATCTTCCTTCCTTAGCCTCCAAAATAGATTACAGCACATACTATGCCCAGCAACAAAGTATTTTGTTAAAGAAAAATTTCCCTAGGTTTACTATTTTAAATTTACTGCAAACCAGGTTACCTTTGCCTTTCAGATGTCTTGTCTTTTCATTGTTTTACATTTTGTGTGTGTGTGCCTCCGTGCACACATGTAAATCAGAAGACAACTGGTCGGAGTTGGTTCTGTTTCCAACCCGTGTATTCCAGGGCTCAGACTTAGGTCATAAAGGTTGGCGGCAAATGTCTTTACCTGTTGAGCCAACCAGCCATTCTCAGGTAATTTTTATTTCATTTAGTTTTTAAATTATTTTATTTTATGTGTTATAGGTGTTTTGCCTGCATATGTGTATGTATACCATGTGTGTGCCCAGTGCATGCAAAGTCCAGAAGAGAACGTTAGATTCTCTGGAATTGAAGTTACAAATAGTATTGGTCTGCTATATGTGCTGAAATCAAACCCAGGTCTTTTGGTTGAGTGGTTATATATATATATATATGTGTGTGTGTGTGTGTGTGTGTGTGTGTGTGTGTGTGTGTGTGTGTGTGTGTGTTTTGAGACAGGGTCTCTCTATGTATCCCTGGCTGTCCTGGAACTCACTGTGTAGACCAGGCAGGCCTCAAATTTGGAGACCTGCCTGCCTCTGCCTCCTCAGGGCTAGGATAAAAGGGGTGGAGCCATCACACCTAGCTGAGCAGCTAGTGCTCTTAACTGCTGAGCCGGCTCTCCAGCCCATCCCCAAGTAACTTTTAAATTATATACCAAATGAGTTAACTTTCTATAGTGTGAGGGTTAAAGGTAGCTTTAACTCAGTACAAGCAGGGCATCCACAGTTAGAAGGATGGGGACTTAGTGGGTGATTATGTCCCCATTGGAATGACTTTAGTAAGCAGATTTTGGATAGTGACTTTGTTTATCAGTTAATATGAGATATTTTATTTATTTATTTATTTATTCATTCATTTATTTATTTATTTTTGA